CTTACTGCCCGGGGTCCCCCAAGCAGATCAAGCTACACAACTCTCTCCCCATGCAGAGGGCCTAGTCCAGTCCCATGCAGGCTCCACAGCCGTTGATCCAACTTTCATGAGTTCTCACTAGTTTGGTTTGGTCGTTTCTGCAGGTTTCCCCGTCATGATCTTGTCCAGACTGAGTTACTGTCCCCTTCTAGAAAGGGAGGACTATCTCTCGGCTGGATGTAGGTAGACCTGTGTTGTTCCTGTGGTATAGAGAAGGGTTTAGGGTTGCCTGGCCCTTTTTCCTTGGTACGTGACTTGTTTTATTTAATCTAATACTTCATTGTTTTTTTTATCCTTGGAGTTTAAGAATTTTACTGTGGGGCTGGAGAGATGGCTCATCCAATGAGGGGACTTGCTGCTGTTGTAGAGACCTGGGTTTGATTCCCAGCACCTATGGTCTTCTTGCTTCTATGGGCACCTGCATACACATGGTGTACACACTGACCAGCAGGCACATATACATAAATAAAAATGAATTTTAAAACTTTTCTTTATGGTTTTTTGAGACAGGGTTTCTGTGTGTAGTTTTGGTGCCTGTCCTGGGTGTCGCTCTGTAGACCAGGCTGGCCTCAAACTCAGAGATCTGCCTGGCTCTGCCTCCCAAGTGCTGGGATTAAAGGTGTGTGCCACCACTGCCCGGCACAATTTTACAACATTTTAAAGAATTTTACTTTCCTTTCCCCTCTGTAATTTGACTAGTTGGTTGCCTCTGTTTTGACGGTCCTTTTTTTCTCCCCTGGAATTCCTGTGGTTTGCCTGGGCTTGACCTTGAGATCTCTGATACCTAATGGCTTTGAGCAACGTGCATGTTTCCCTGGAGTATTTTGGGTATTTTCTCTGCTAGACCACATTCCTTCACCCTGCCACCCTTCTTTCCTCAGCGTCTTTGACCTGCCATGTCTTCTGTTGGGTCCCCTGGCCCGCTCCCTGTGCAGCAAGATGCCTCTGGGTTAGTCAGCTCAGGCCTCACCTGCTCAGAGGCACCTTCCCCCTGCCTTGGGATTAAGGTTTGTTCTTTTATGGTCTATTGAATCCATCCCTTGTCTTCCATCCCCCATCACCTCACAGGGCAGAAGTCCCATCATTCAAGAACATTCTTGCTAAATCAATTCTTACCACATTCCCAGGATCTAATCCATGTCAGCCCATCATAGGAAGCACTTAGCAGAAGGAGTGAGAGTGAATTTGTTATGCTCGGGCCATCTTGTCCAGCTTTCCACTCGGCATGTGGGAGCCCTGAAATGGAAGCTTGGTTGGGAGGCAGTAGAACAGTGGCCTGTAAGAACCTGAACGCCTGGTGCCTGTTGGGCTTCTACCCAGCAGTCACAGGCGCTGACACCACTGTCTGGTATCAGGGGCAAAAACTGGGTGAGGCTTTCTAGCAATCTAGCTATGTTGGGGTGGAGGCTCCTGAGCCCAACCCTGGGGCTAGTCTTTGCTGTGCTAGGGACAGCATTGACAGCTGGCAGCAGTATAGACTGAAAGAATTGGCCAAAGACAGAAGGAGGCAGAAGATCAACTTCGTTGTAGCTGCTCATGCTTGGAATCCTAGCAGTCAGAAGGCTAAGGCCAGAGGATTGACTCCAGTTTGAGGCCAGCCTGGGCTATGTAGTGAGTTGCCTGAGCTACAAAGTTAAGACCCTGACTCAAAACGCAAACAAAGAAGAAGAACTTCCCCTACAAAAAACAAAACAACCACAACTGCGGGGTATTTACCCACCACCCCCACAGCTCCCCAGAATTTTCTTGAGTGAGAGCAGCAGGAAATATTAGATAGAAGGATTTAGATTGTGGAGATAAACAGAGAGAAAATATAGGATAGCCTCGAGAGGGCCTGGAACCTATTCCAAAGGGCCCCGACTGTCTCTGCCCCAGGGTATGTTAGGCAAGCACTCTACCAACTGCTCAGCATGGGCCATGTTTTAATATCACAGTGCCTGGTTGTTTAGGTCTTATCATGTAAGACAACTGTGAAGGGCTCGTGTCTGTGGAGTTCGGCAGATATCGTACTATTTTGCTAAGGAATATGTTATATCTTGTGGATTGTCTCTTCTCAGGAATGGCTGTCTATGCAAGGTGGGTGTGGGGCTCTAGGAGTCATACTTCTGAGTGTCTGAGTCTATTCATTAAAGAGTGGAATTCCCTGGGCTGGAGAGATGGCTCTGCAGTTAAGAGCACTAGCTAGTCTTCCAGAGGACCCAGGTTCAATTCCCAGCACCCACAGGGCAGCTCACACCTGTCTGTAACTCCAGTTCTAGGGTACCTGACACCCTCATATAGAAATACATGCAGGCAAAACACCAATGCACGTAAATTTAAAAAATTAAAGATAAAGAGTGGGATTTCCTACAGTGTGTGGGGCTGTCCAAAGAGAGACTGCAGCCAGGCCTCTCAGGACTAACTAATCAATTCTGGTCCTGCTCAGAGAAGAAGAGGCCTTGCTCTGAGGCCAGCCTAGTCTGAGGCAAAGCAGTCTTGAGACTGGAATAGCACAGCACACCCATCAGTCCCAGGATGGCATCTACATTCTCCCCTTGCTCCAACTTCTCACTGTCATTTTCTTTTTCCTCTATAGTACTTACCACTGAACACTATGTGGCTTCTTTAAGGTAAATCAATTTGCAGATATTTCTGGAACTTAGTATTTCAAGTGCTCAAGATAAATCTCTGAACAAAACAAAGACACAGCCAACCCCCACAGTACTGTGTAAGGATAATAAGTATCTACTTTAAAGATTATGTGAGGGCTGTAGATATAGACCAGTGACAGAGTGCCTACCTAGTATGTATGAAGCCATGGATCTAATATCTAGTATTGAAGAAACACAAAAAACCAGGGAGCATACACCTGTAACGCCAGCACTTGGGAGTTGGAGGTAGGAGAAGATCAGCAAGGGATGTATGAGACCTTGTATAAAAAACAAAAGTGAAAAATATTCAGTAAGATGATAAATGCTATGGGAAAAAAAGCAGGACAGAGGATAAAGGCCATCCCCAGTGCTGGGGGCCAAGAGAGAAGCTCCAGTCTAAAATGAGAGAGTGTGAGAATGCTGGAGTAGAGCCCACGGAAACCTGTGCTTTCACAGCGGAGAACAGCTGGAGGTCAGCCACGGAGCCAGAGGGTGCACAGGGCAGGGTGTCTGAAGAGCGCTTTGAGGCTGAGCTGGAGGCCAGCAAATGAAACGCAGTGAGGTGGGTGTGGGAATCCTGGGAGTCTACCTGGCTCTGGACCATCTTTGGGGAGTGGCTACAAATCCACAGGCTGATGTGTGGAGAGTGGACTGAAGGACAACAAGGGACTGGGAGGGGACTGTGACTGACCTGGAGAGACATGTAGGGGTTTGGATGTTCAAGCTGTGGTCATGTCAAACAGTGACCTCATTCTTGAGATAGACAACTTCCTGGCACAATGGATGAGGGTAAGACAATAACAACCAAAACAGGGAAGGGCCACAAAGCCAGACTCAGGTTGTCTGTCAACAGCTGGATGTTGAATCAGGAAGAGTCTCACCTGGGTAAACACTTTTGGGGTTGATAAACATGAAGTTGGCATTTAAAGCCATGAGCCTGAAAACTAGGTCTGTTGCTTTGTACCTATAAATCCCAGCACGTGGAGGTTGTGGCAGCAAGATTGCTGTAATTATGAGGCCAGCTACAGAGCGGGACCCCTACTCAAATCAAACCGTATTTTAAAAGCAAAACCATGAGTGTGGGTAAGTAGGTACAGACAGATGGAAAAATGTAAAAATGTATATCAGAGGAAACCTGGTGAGCATAGAGCCTTGACAGCCTACGAAAGGAGGTTCCAAGAAGAATCTGTTGATGATAGGAAATCTCTCTAAGTCCATCTCTAAGACAGCAGGGATTTAAAAAATATATATTTCCCTTTACTGTATTTCCTGCAGAGTATAGATACTTAAGAAACACTTGAGTTTAAAAACCGTGTGAGTCACACCTTTGCAAATGCCCAGGATGCAGGGTTGCAACACTGACCTCCTTTACAGAAAGGCTAGTGGGCAAGTAGGAGGTTCGTCCCACTGTCTGTGGTACCCATCACATCCCTTGCTTTTCCTAGCTACACTGACATTCGCTGAGGCCAGAGCCCTCCGGAATAACCCAGGCCCCAGGACAAAGGAGTCTTACGTACGTTCTATGCTTTGGAGGTTGGTAGACCTGTCTTCAGACCCACCAGTTTAGAGAGGACTTTCAATCCACTCCTTTTTTCTGCCACCTTATGGCTTTCATTTTGTCTACCTGTCCACTCATCTGTTCACCTGTCAAATAACGATTTTTAAAAATTATTAGTGTGTGTGTGTGTGTGTGTGTGTGTGTGTGTGTGTGTGTGTGTGTGTGTGTGGAGAGAGACAGAGAGAGAGAGAGAGAGAGAGAGAGAGAGAGCGCCTGTCACAATGCTCTTGCAGAGGTCAGAAAACCACCTTCGGGGAGTTGGTTCTCTCCTGAGTCCCAAAGATTGTACTCATCTCACTGCCTTCAACTTCCCGAGCCTTCTCACTGGCCCTCTACATAGCCTTTTATTTGTCCGTCGTCTGTAGTCATTCTTCTGTCCGCTCTGTATAGCTATCCCTTTAACTCAGCGACTATTCACATGCAGTTTTGTCCATCCATCTGCCAGGGTGACCAGCTTTGCAGCTGGTCACAGAATGAATACTGACTGGCCTTGACATTCCTGTATCCTCGGAGGCTTCCCAGTGCAGGGCAAACCAGGACTGCCTGTTCATCTATCCGTATCCTAGGCATCCTGCAATCGACCCATTGGCACGCAGCCCATCAGTTACTTCAACTGCGCCACAGACCGGCTGGCCAGCCTCCTCGCCAGGACAACGCTCCGCCTCCTGCCTTCACTTCCCCCTCCCCCCGCCCATTCCGGAAGCCCCCGAAGCGAATCCTGGCGCCCTAGCAACAGAGTCTTTCAGGCTGCCCAGTCCGCTTGCGCGGCTTCGGGTGCGAGCCAATCGTGAGGGGCGCCGGGAGCGAGGCTCGGGGGGCGGGGCTGAGCGCCGCCGCAGCCATTTTGGTGGGAGAGAAACAATAGGACGGAAGCGTCGCGGGACTGGGCTGTGGCCGCAGGTAACGCCCGCCCTGCCGGGCCCGTGGCCCGGTCGCCTCGGGGGTTTTAGGGAGGTTTTCGGTGCTGTTAGCGGACAGGCTTCCTGATCACTCGGGAGCTTTCCAGATTATTTGGCGGAGGGGTTCTCTAGCTGTCATTGTGGAGCGGTCTCGCTCTTTTTTGTGGAGTAAAAATTCCCCTACTTACGGGGGGCAACATGTCTTCTGGTCCTCGGGGAGGCCAGGGCTCCCCACGAGAGGAGGGCGGAATCTTCCCCCGCTTTGGAGAGGGTCCGCTGGGATTGGGGGGTAGGGGGCGACGACAGCGTCTTTCTCTGTGTTTGAAGCGCTCTCCCTGGGTCTTCCGGTGGCCAGGGTCTCTTGTTTCAAGGTCCCCTGGCCACGACCTCCCAGGTCATTGCGGATGGGGTCTCTGTCTTTGGATGAGGGGGTCAGCCCTGATCGTCAGGTACTGTTACCTGGGCCCGCAGACGTGCAGCCATTTTGGGTAATGAACGTCAGCCAGTCACCTCGCCTTTGATTGGGGGGCGGGGAGATCTGCGCGTCCAACCTTCCTGTCTTTTTTTTTTAAACATTAAACCGGATCAGAAGATGCCTTTTTTAATACTGATGTTTCTATCGCCAGTGGGATAGTTACTTCTTTCACATTTGATAACAAGACTGCAGCTGTCTTCCACATCCTTCTTAATGACTTGTTTCATTTTAGGATTTTAATTTCCCTCAAATATCAAGAAAGCTGTTACTAGCAGAGGAATGAGTGAAAAATGTAGGAACTAGTGAAATCTAGTGATCTTACATGCCAAAGGAAATAGAGCTAGTCATCGCTTGTAAATAAATATTTTGTTAGCAAAGTGTGCGTAGAGCAAGGACAAAATAATTTCGAATAGTTTTGAGAAAAAGTACTGAAGGGATCTGGAGGAAGTGGGAGGAGAACGAGAGGGGCCAGGGAGTGAGTAGGATCAAAATACCTCGTATACATGTTTGACATTGTCAAAGAATACATGTTTATCAAAATAAAAATACTCCAAAGGAAAAAATACTGAAAGTTTTGAAACATATTAAAAATGTTGCAGACTAGAGGACCTTGTTTACAGCAGTTTTGTTGAGTATTTAAAATGTTTGTTGTATTTGCATTTTTCCCGGGTTGACATTTTAAGAGAAGGAAGATGCTTATTTACTAAGTTGTTGCCATGGAGAGTGTATAATTGCAGGGGTTTGTTGTTTTAATTTCAGCCGCTGTCACAGATAGAAATATAAAATGAATACTTATATTTGACGTGAACAGATCATTTGATTGCCCCCTTAATTTTTTTTTTTTTTTTTTTTTTTTTGAGATCAAGTTGATTGAACTGTTGACTTATTCTGACAGGTTTACCTGCATTCTGTAAAATTCAAGTGCATAAGTAGGATTAGACCTGTTCTTATAATTGTAGAAACCAGTTTCTTATATATAATAGACTTCTTTTGTGCTTTGGAGTTTGCTAGGAGACAGGTTTTGGTCTATACAACCAAGTATCTGAACATTGGAATGTGCCAGGGGACATAATTGCTGACTGATGAAACTTAGTCTCCTTTACAGAGAGGGTCAAGGACTTCTGTGAGCCCTAGAGATGTCACTGGTATCTAGGCAACAAGGATGGGCTGGAGCCTTCCTAGGGCCAGCTTGTTAAGGTGAAAATTTTCCATTGTTGGCTCATAAAGAGGATGCACTGGGGAAGAATTTTCCCTTTAAGGGAAGAGTTGTTTTGTTTTTTTGTTGATTTGAGATAGGGTCTCTTTATGTATACCTGGCTGTCCTGGAACTCACTCTGTAGATCAGGCTGGCCTTGAACTCATAGATGCCCTTGCCTTCTGTGTACCAGAATTAGAGGCATTTGCCCCCACCTCGGGCAAGGGAAATTTATTTGTCATGGGATGATTATCTTACAAATTGGCCATATTTTTTTATGGTAGAAAATAATCAGAAAATTACTTTAGCATGATTACATTTTGAAGCATATTTTTATTTTTAAAATTATATTTTGTCTTTTTGTGTAATAAAAATAACAAGTAGTGTATGTTATGAAGTATATCGTGTTGGTAAGTAAATGTCCTTTTCCCAAAAAATTGAATTGAGAATTCATTAAAAAGTTTGAAGAAAAACATCATTTGCAGAGATAATGTATGTGGCTTTAATCTGTCATTCATCACCAGCTTCCAGCAGTCAGCTGATTTCAGCTAATTGTGGCTCACACCTGTCCTCCTGTCACTGGGAGGCTGAGGCAGTAGGTTGCCACAAGTTCCAAGACTAAACTACTCAGGCCTACTTTGAGAGACCAGTCTCAAAAACCAAAACCAAAAACTACTCCAAACCAAAACGCAGGTAACTGATCCTTACGTGTTGTATCCACACACCTCTTGGTGTCTCACATTGCATTTTATTTACTTAACTATTCATTTATTTGGTTTTTAAGAAGGCCTCGCCGGGCTGTGGTGACGCATGCCTTTAATCCCAGCAATCGGGAGGCAGAGGCAGTAGGATCTTTGTAAGTTCGAGGCCAGCCTGGTCTGCAAAGCGAGTTCCAGGAAAGGTGCAAAGCTACACAGAGAAACCCTGTCTTGAAAAACCAAAAAAAAAAAAAAAACAAAGGCCTCACATAATAACCTAGGTTGGCCTAGAATTTATGGTAATCCTCCTGCCTGAACCTCTAGATGCTTAATCAGATGCTGAGGGTATACCCATGAGCCACTTACAGTCAGTTTGCCTTATTTCTTCTGTGTGTTTCCTGTCCTGGAACTCACTCTGTAGACCAGACAGGCTGGCCTTGAACTCAAGAGATTTGCCTAACCTCTGCCTCCCAAGTACTGAGATTACAACTGTGAGCCTGGCTTTTTTCTTTCTTTCTTTTAAAATTTGGGTGTTTGGGTGTTTTGTCTGCATGTATGTGCACCAGACGAGGGCATGAGATCTCATGGGACTACAGTTATAAACTGCTGTAAGCTGCTGTGTGGGTGCTGGACACTGAACTCAGAACCTCTGGAAGAGTAGCCAGTGTGCTTACCACTAAGCCGTCTCTCCAGCCCCTTGCCTTTCTCTTTAAGGAAGGAGGAAAAGTAGAAGAAAGCTGGATTTTGAAGGACACATATCCAGAAATGTTTTTGTTGTTTCTTGTTTTGCTGTGATACTTTAGCCCCCAGAAATGTTATTTTGCTTATACATTTTTTTTTTTTTTTTTTGGTTTTTCAAGACAGGGTTTCTCTGTGTAACTTTACACCTTTCCTGAATCTCACTCTGTAGACCAGATTGGCCTCGAACTCACAGAGATCTGCCTGCCTCTGCCTCCTGAGTGCTGGGATTAAAGGTGTGCGCCACCACCGCCCAGCACTTATACATATTTTAGTGCGTATCTCTGAAGACAAAAAGTGCTGGATATGAGTGAATCCCAACACTCAAAAAGCTGATACAGGAGGATTACAAATTCTAGGCAGCCTGTGCTACAATGTCTCAAAACAGGGTTTGGGGGAGGGCTAGCCATGTAATCTACAGTACCATTACTCTGCTTAAAAACTTGTAATTCTTTATTTTTTAAAGTTCTAAAATTCATATACCCATCTGACGTTTTTACTAGTTGATATGTTAAAATCAGGATTCAAGATCTGCTCATAGCATTCTGATGAGGTGGCCCTTTTTTCCCCCCCGAAACAGGGTTTCTCTGTGTAGCTATGGCTGTCCTGGAACTTGCTCTAGACCAGACTGACCTCAAACTCACAGAGATCTGCCTGCCTCTGCCCCGAGTGCTCGGATCAAGGGTGTGCCACCACTGCCCTGGTGACTGAGGTGGCTCTTAGTCGATTCAGTTTATATGTGCTTGTTCTGTTTTTCTTGTGATTTGTTTATTGAAGCATCTGTGGTAGAATTTCTGGCGTTTGTTGATCATTCCTTGTGATTGAGACCTTTCGGCTGTGGTGAGTAGCTGGATTTAAAGTCGCTCTTATTAATCCTCTCTGTGAAGACATTGGGAAAGAACCGCCAAGGTGCATTGAGAGATGAACTCTGGCCGGCAGGGTTGCAGACCTGCAATCCCAGAGAGAACTGAAAGTTCAAGCACAGCCTAGGCAGTGTAGGGAGACCTCCATCTTTAAGACCTTTAAAATATATTATTATTGTGTATGTGCATGGTGTGTGTATGTGTGAGGGAGGGAGGGAGGAAGGAAGGACTCAGGGAGGTCAGAGGACCACTGAGATCCACCTGGCTCTGCCTCCCGAGTGCTGGGATTAAAGACGTACGCCACTACCGCTCGGCTCACTTTGGGTTCTTTTTTAATACTTAGAATAGAAATTCACAATTGATCAAATGAAAGAAAATATTTAGTGTTTATGTATCCATTAATCTTACCACTCATTTAAAAATGATCTAAAGCCAGATGTGGTGATAACAGTCCCATAATCTCAGCACTTGGGAGGCTGAGGCGGAAGGATTGCCTTGAGTTCAGGGCCAGCCTGTGTTATATAACAAGAATCTGTCTCAGAGACAAAGGGACAAAGAAAGGAAGAAAAGAAATTGCTGAATAAAACTTGTGTTTTAATGGAATAAAATGTGTTACGGACCAGAAAGCAGAACCCTGGCATCTTCATTTCATGGACAGGAATGTGTGCAGTTGGTTCCGGGCTGGATCTCATAGGGCAGGCTTTATGAGCGAACTCTCCCTTTCCACTGCTGACCCTATGGTACTTAGGCCTTTTCACTCTATCTTAGACCCCTCCATTTGTACTAGCCCAGAGTACCAGTCCTTGTCTTGAGCTTTGTATTGCTCTTCTAGCTGGGGCTGCTTTGGGGCCAATAGCCTTTCCAAACTCGAGTTGCACACACAAAAAACGTGATGCCTCATGGGCTGCAGGCACTTGTCTCGGCTCCCTTGGGAAATGCACAACTATTTCATCACCCTTCCCTGTTTCTTTTATGAGAGTAATAGAGACTGTTTTACAGTATAAAATGAACAATAGCTAACAATGTTTTCTC